CAACATCAGTGGAACGCTTGTGAACAACCTGAGATTTGCAGATGACATTGACCTAATAGATGAAGAATGCAGCTCTCTACAGAACCAATTCGATATAATAAGAATAGCTGCAGAACAAGCAGGACTAGTGGTGAACACAACAAAAACGAAAACAATGGTGTTCGGTAAAAGAAGCATAGAGCAACCACTAAAAATACAACGTTCACTAATAGAAAATGTTGATAAATTCGAGTATCTGGGAAGCCTTATAACATGGGACAACAGTTACACAGAAGAAATCAAGAGAAGGATCGGCAAAGCAACTGGTGCAATGGCATCTATGAAACACATTTGGAAAGGAAAGCAAAGCACTATAGAAAACAAGCTCAGGATCCTAACAACGTGCGTCTTCAGTGAACTACTATACGCCTCAGAAATCTGGACACTTAAGAAAACCAATGAAAGGAAATTACTGGCATTCGAAATGAAATGCTACCGAAGAATCCTACACATCAGCTGGAGGGATATGATCAGAAATGAAGATATAAGGGAAAAGATATCAAAAGAAGAGACTATAGTTGACATAATCAAGAAAAGAAAGCTAAGACTCTTCGGCCATATCTGTAGAATGAGCGATAATAGACTGATAAAACACACAATATTCGGAAGAATAGAAAGAAAACCGAGAAGAAGACGTCCATGTAGAGAATGGTTGGACGACACCAATGAGTGGTGTGAATACAGTGGACAAGGCCTGTTCCACCGGGCACAAGACCGACAGAAACGGAAGAAACTAATCTCTACAATAATTGGCCCCAACGGGCGATAAGCCTACGGGACTTCAAGATTCAAGAAGATTCAAGTTTCTAGGTGGTGATATAAATCATAACAGAAGCATTGAAAAGAAAAGTGAGCTCCAAATTTGGAGTTTACGTATGGAGCTCACTTTTCTTGACCACTCGACAGTCACCAAGAGAAGAGACCTGGAGAAAAAGACAAAGTCAACGCTGCTAGTTTCGAATTAGGTGAAAGCGAATCGACTTGTCTCCGATATTCTACTATCGAGATGACATGCAATCACATGAAGCCAACTTCTGTCTCATGTAACCCGAGATAATCCTCGACAACCATCTAAACTGGATCCCTCTTGGTTGATTCATTTGAAACTAGATACTTAACCAGGGAGTGGCTTGAAGGACCGTACCCTCCCGTCCATCATGAAAAAGTTCTTGTAGAAGTTGAATATATGCTAAGTCAAAACTATCTGAGGAGACTCTCAAGTAAGGTCAAAATCTAGATGATGGCATCCTTGACTTACCACTGTTATAAAGATGTCACCGTTTCTAACTTTTTTAGATGCTGTATCGATTATTATAGTTTGTTTATGATTCTTCGGAATCATTTGAATAAGTATAGCAGAGTTATAGTTACCTGACGAGACCCTTTAGCAAGGTCGAAATCTGGATCGTGGCTTGCTTGACTCATTTTCACTCTCACTCTGTCATGCATAGGAAACTTTTCTTACTGCTTGGGTTCGCGAAATTTTAGAAGTTTTCAGAATCCAACGAGTCAATCAGAGGTTTTCTACAAATTTACAGGTGATTTTTATGGTGTAATCCTAAGTTTCCTACCGCAAGTAATGTAAAAATATCGTCACTGCTCATTTGCTCCCTCTTATCCTAACTTCTTTGTCTTCACATCCCCTCTACGATGTGACGTCATTATGAACAGTTGCATAAGAACGTCAGTACGAAATTTAGCCTGTCTCTTGGGTGCATCTTCTTGGGCTCTTTGCGGCTCAACACCACATTTTTTCATATAGTACTTAGAGAATTGTTCATTATCCTTGCATCGAAATATTCAGTTTGGTTGTTTCCTGATGCATCCTGAGAGTGATGTGGGTGTGAGCGTATATCACCATCGATAGCCGCATCAATACCCATACCCATACCCCACACCCACACCCACACCCACACCCACATCCACACCCCACACTCCACACTCTTCCATGAACAACAGCAGGCCGAATTATCACTGAATATCATCTAATGAGCCCACATAGGCTATAATTTGTCGTTCAACTTCATGAGAAAGATCCGCAAGATCGAGTTGAAATTATGCCACTTTTATGCGTACGTTACAAATTATCCACAATCAGAAAAGCTCTCTTTTTCAGACAAAGACTCTTGACATTTAAATGGTTGATCGATAAACACAAAGCGAAGATCTGTGTATAAGATATATATATAAAGATTTGGTTGAATTCAAAATAAGAACCTATAAAGAAAAGAAATTGATTCGAAAATGAATTTCCTACAATATTTTTTAACGATTTCGAAAACGTTAGATTTATGTATTCCAGTTGGGGTATTCTTTTTGAACATTTGTTGTAAACTAAATTATGTGAAATAAGACTTTAAAGAATATACTAACATATTATAAAAAGCTGTTAGCGCAATCCCTTGCACGATTAAAAATGTGAAACACGATGGACCTATTGTTACTAATTAAATGGAAATTCTTTTCTTCCATTTTCATACGACACATTTGTAGCTGACCGTATATCTGATGCTTTACAAGTACAGTTTCTCTGTCACGGTCTGTGATGGGTATCCGGGTTCTCTGTTACCATCTGTGATGAGTACCCTGGTTCTCTGTTACCATCTGTGATGAGTACCCGGGTTCTCTGTCACGGTCTGTGATGGGTACCCAGGGTTCCCCATCACGGTCTGTGACGGGAACCCAGGGTTCTCTGTCACGGTCTGTGATGGGTACCCAGTGTTCTCTGTCACGGTCTGTGATGGGTACCCGGGTTCCCTGTCACGGCCTGTGATGGGACCCGGGTTCTCTGTCACGGTCTGGGATGGGTACCCGGATACTCTGTCACGGTTTGTGATGGGTACCCGGGTTCTCTGTCACGGTCTGTGGGGGGGGAGGAGGCGGTGGAGGGGGAGTGAGTCCAAATTTCTACCCCTAAACACTTCAACACCCCTTTTAGATCGTGTTTCACAAAAAATCAACTAAATTGCTTGAGTTGTATAAGATATATTTGAATTGACATTCGTCCGAGCTTTGGGACACCCTGTAGAGCGCGAAATTTTCTATCGATTCGTATAGTTTTTGTTGATTTTAGCGTAAATCTCTTGGTTAGAAAATGCAAAATATTGGAAAGCACTAATATTGATTTTTGCTTGAAGAAAATTATTTTGATTATCAAAACATCTACACGAACATACGAAGCCCTCTTATACTGTATGTCTTATAGTAGACCTCTTATACTATATATATCAACATTTGAATCAGATCAGTACTAGTGGCGGATCCAGAAATTTTTGAAGGGGGGTGCGGTTTAGCAAAGAAAGAGAGGGATGCGATCAAAATACAAAGTTTCGAGTAAAAATCACTAAAAACAAGGATGAAATCAGTTTCAAAGGGGGTGCGGAAGCATCCTCCGGACTACTCCTGGATCCGCCCCTGGTCAGTATCTCATAATGTTGAAGAAAAATTGAAAAAGCAAAATACGAAAAAAAGATCGAAAAAAGCAAATTCACTTAAACCTTTGTTCTTGACTGTACGAAAACTGAAAAATTGTCAGCAGAAATTTATCATAATAACTGGAATACAGTTTTTATGACGAAATCAAAAGTCATCAAAAGATCAATTGAAAAATATAAGATTGTGCAATGTATTGTCGACTTTAAATTATGTTATCTTTTGAATGAATATTTCAATTTTCGATAGAGAACCATAAATCTCATGAGTTCTAATTTTGCTCATTTTTTTAAAAATGATTGTACTTCGTTCTACCTTCTGCAAATAGTCCCGCTTTTTCAATTCGGTCTACTGTAATGAAAGAGAACTGTAAATCAAAAAAGTCAGAATTATTCGTTAAGTCGAGAACGAGTCACGATGCTTTTAGAAAGTTAAACAATCAGAAACATCTGAACTCGCTATGATGCATGTAAATAAGAAAAAATATATTTAGTAACTAATGCGTTAAGGTATGCGTAAGTATCCTTATGATATGGATACTTGGCCTTAGTACAGCAAAAAAGAACTTTTGTTTTTCCGTGAAAAGCGAAAAAGAAATCCCATGGGATCAGACCTTTGTCCCATCCCATTCCTTGGGATATTTCAAAACACAAAATTTCGTCCCATCCATCCCATGTAGAGTCCTAGTTTGGGTACTGACATATACATACATGTGCTAAAGGAGCACGTAGTCTCTCCTGATTACGCCAGTCGATATCACGTCAGATGAGGCTAATAAGCACACTAGCCCCACCTGATGAGACTAATAGCGTTTGCATAGGACGTCGGATGCCCTTTCGTATCCCACCCCTTGCTCTCGCTCGAGCAGTGTGAAATTTGTTCTCTATTCTCTTTCCTCTCTCCTCCATTGCGTCTATTTTCTCCCATTCGTCTCTTCTACTTATTTCTCTCTCTCCTATTGCTCTCTCTTTTTTCTCTCTCCCTTTCTCTCTACATACATGGGTGTCTCTGAGAAAAATGAGAGGCAGTTGGTAGCTCAATAAGAGGCAGTCCGTAGTTCAATACGAAGCAGTTCAGTACTGATTCAGCTCAGTCACAGCTGGTTACAACTTGTTACAGTTGATTGTTAAACAAATAGGTTGGTGAACAAGTAACGAAGTTAGGTTAGGTCAAGGATCATAACACTATAGAGACACCCATTCACTCCAATTGATTGTGTGACGTGTCTTAATACATTAAACATTGTAAGTCCGTGTCTTATCATTTCAAATAAATTAACACGGCGTAGTGTTACTCTTGTTGTCCATCCTTGAAGTCTCAATTATATACGCTTATATAATTATATATATACGACCTTATCTAATTTTTTCGTTACGATACACACGTACAATATTGCACTTCACTGACTTGTTGAATGATCTGTTTTCTTTTGTCTGTATACATTTATTCATCCAATCTCGACGAGAATAAATACAAACATACATATATGTGTTTTTTTCTTTGTTCTGCATGTCTCTTGTTTTAGATTTATGGAAAAAACGACTATACCGACAAATAATACATCAGATGGTGTAATGGACAATGGTGATGAACCAGCGGAAATGAAATATTTACGTTCAGCGGATCACAATTCAAAAGATAATATTACAGATGCAAGAACAGCTAATGAATGGGCAGCTAAAAAATATATTTGGGTACCTGATGAACATGAAGGTTTTATTCGTGGTCAAGTACAACAAGAACAAACGAATGGACAATTATTAGTTGATTTAGAAAATGGTAAACGTATTACCACACATAAAGATGATACACAACGTGTAAATCCACCAAAATTTAGTAAAATAGAAGACATGTCAGAATTAACTTGTTTAAATGATGCATCGGTATTATTTAATCTTAAGGAACGTTATTATTCAGGATTAATATATACATATTCGGGTTCATTTTGTATTGTTGTCAATCCCTATAAACGTCTATCAATTTATTCGGAAAATGTTATTGAAATGTATAAAGGTAAAAGACGTGAACAAATGCCACCACATATATTTTCTATTGCGGGTGATGCGTATCGTTTAATGTTACAGAATCGTGAAAACCAATCAATTTTATGCACGTATGTTAAAATCTTTGTTTTTTGGTAAACAGAAATTTGCGTTTTTTCAGAGGTGAATCTGGTGCTGGTAAAACTGAGAATACAAAAAAAGTTATTCAATATTTGGCTTACGTTGCAGCTGCACCAAAAAGTTCACAACGTCAACCGGGAAACGCTGTTAACCAATATGAAGTAAAAAAACACTTTTTTGAATTTAACTATTTGATTAAATTTTATTTTATTCAGCAACAAATCAGTGCAAAAAAAATAAACGATGCCATCGTAAGAATTTGAAATACAATTTTTTTGTTTTTTAAATAGTCTTTAAATTTTCAGGGTGAACTTGAAGCTCAACTTCTTCAAGCAAATCCAATTCTTCAAGCATTTGGTAATGCTAAAACTGTTAAAAATGATAATTCATCACGACTTGGTAAATTTATTCGTATTAATTTTGACACAACGGGTTTTATTGTTAGTGCATCAATTGAAACATATTTACTTGAAAAATCTCGTACTACTCATCAAGCTAAAGATGAACGAACATTTCATATATTTTATCAATTGTTACGTGGTGCTAATACAAAAATGATAACAGATTATTTATTAGAAGATTTTAGTCGTTATCGTTATTTAACACATGGTAATGTAACAATACCAGGTGTTGATGATGGTGAAGAATTTCAAAATACAGTTAAAGCTATGCAAATAATGAATATGTCAAATGATGATTTAAATTCAATATTTCGTACGATGTCAGCAGTTTTACAAATGGGTAATATGCAATTTAAACAAGAATGTAATAGTGATCAAGCNATATTGAATATTCAGCACTACCTAATATCAATATCAATAACATCAAGTCTAAGAAAAACAAAGTATGGCAGGATGTTACATCTCAATTTACGACACCCACACCCACACCCACACCCACACCCACACCATATTTTTTTTATAATCATATCCTTCATCGATAACATATCCCGTTTTAAATCATTGTTCGTTTTGTGCAGCATGTTAATGATAATATCGTTTGAATAGGTGTTATTGGTTGTCGTAAGTTGAGATGTAACATCCTGCCATGCGTTGTTTTTCTTAGACTTGATGTTATTGGTTGTCGTAAATTGAGATGTAACATCCTGCCATACTTTGTTTTTCTTAGACTTGATGTTATTGATATTGATATTAGGTAGTGCTGAATATTCAATATCATAAGCAGCTCCAACAAATTGTGATGGATGTTGTTGATGTACTTGAATAGGTTAACGATTAATACTACCATCTTTAATTGCTTGTTTCACTTCCGAGTTCAACTTCTTCCTGTATTGTTGAATGTATTCGCATTTAGGATCTAGTGAGTGATGATCTTGTCCGCATTGGGCACAAAGTGGCTTACCTGAACATGTACTTGTATGGTCGTGATCGTAAACCTTTAAGAGCCATTCCATATAAGCCACGACCGATCTACCAGAGACCTGCTGAATCGATGTCGTCAGATCTTGCTCAATTTAATGTATGTTATAGAGGGAAGTATTTTAAGAATTTTGACGCAAGCCGTTTCGAAAAATATTGATCCGTCGATTTTTTATGAGCATTTTACTAAAAGCCCTAAAAGCGGCCCATGCCAAAAACAGGGGTCTTGGTGCAACGATATCTCATGAATAGCTCAACAGATTGAGCTGAAATTTTTTGTAGACATATATATCAGTGAGTTCTATTAGCAAAAACAATTTTTATTGAGAAATATTGAGCCATTAGGATTCTATGAATCACACAATATACGAAAAAATCTTGATTTTTGGTAAGTTTTGTGTTTCATAACTTTTGATTGGAATGACATAGAAGTCTGAAATTTTCAGCATAGATAGAGCACTAAAAGACATATGATTCCTGATAATTTCAGCTATCTACGTTGTTCCATTAGATTAGAAAGATCCCTTGAAAGAGTAGGATTTTCAGAATTTGTTTTCGCCCAAAACATCGACTACTTGTGGAGTTGGTCTTTATAATTTGAAAGCACTCTCGGTGGACTATAACTCTATAAAAAATTATCATTTCGTCCCTAGAAATGACTGGCACTGGATGACATCTTCCAGGAGTATTTCTAAGATATACTTTTTACACAAGTTTTGAAGTTGGATTTCTCGCCTTACCTATCTGTTAGACCCAAGTAAATTTAAATGGAGAACACGATGATCACATTCCTCTGCGTTTCAAACTCTGTTTACATAAACAAAAGTAAAGACAATCATATTCACTAGGCTTTTTCAGGTGAAACTATTGTGTTGTAGAGGATATGAAATAAGGGATATGCTCACTATTCGCATTTGCACGTTTGTGTATTTGACCCCAAACAGGATTGAAGAAAATATTTGAGGTGGAATAACTATTGATTATGGAAACTTTAGTTCAGTTTTGTCTCGTCTTATATGTTTTTCCATAGGAATATTAGATAGCTTTTCGTTAGTACCGTTTTAATTTTGGAGGCAAGTTTTTTAAATTTATTGTGCCTATCGGGCTGCTCCTTCTGTGTTGTAGCACATATTGCTTTAGTTTGCCTTAGTACGTAATTTAAAATAGTGCATGCATCTAGTACCGATCTGTTTTTTTATAACTCTGAAGTAGTGTGTACGAGTAGAATTAAGTGTTATGTTTCGTCATGAGCTAATATGCGAAAACATTGATTAGTTTCAGCTAGACGACTGTGAGTTTAGGTTATCGTCAATGATTTCAACTATTAGCTGTTGCTTTAGGTTCACGTCGTACTTTTGATTTAACTTTCGAAATTGATACTTGATTTGATTTCTCGTAGGATACTCATTCATCTGGAAAATCTTCAGTCCAGTTTGATCTCTTTTTGAGCGTATCTGTTGCTGAATATTTTCAGGTGTAATTCTTGAATCGGTTTTAATGGAGTCGAGCGATTGTTGTTCGATGAAATTCTTTACTTTTTCACTCATTGGTTTTCCAAGTTTTCGTGTGCGTAGTGCCCAACCACAAGTCGAAAAGAATCGGTTATGAGTAGATGCTGACATGGCGTAAATGATATTATCGTGATATTGGCGAATAGCGCCAGTTTCATTACGGGATCTTGTTGATGTTGATCGTAATATCTCTGTTACATGTATTCGAGCGATATCATTAGCTGTTCTCGGCACAACCTCTGGAATAGAATGTAGATTAGCTGCGATATGTGCATCTAGTTCGATGCTTGATTCGAAAGTAGCAGTGCAGCCATTAACAGGGCATAATGATAAATCATGATATTGTCGATCCATTCTTCTATGTATCTTAAAGCTGAGTGCGCATTTTATAAAAGAAATATCATACCTTTTTGGTATTGTTCCCGTGGGCTGATCATTTATAGGTACAGTAAAAGGACTTGTTACTCTCATATTATTTTCAAACTCTACTGTGTTGTACTTGATTGAGATGCCGCTACCAATATTGGAAGCTTTATAAACCTTCATAGCGTCTTGTTCATATCGTACAGAACGTATTGACGAGACATTAGGGACGTTGGTTTTTCCCAAATAACCTTAGAAAAGAAAGAAGATCAGGAAGACACTGAACTTCAGCTAATAATGCACATACCAGCACCCGGTAAAATCTCTGCTACCGCCACTTTGGTATTTTTAATCCCACCAGCATGCCCCATCCCTTCTTTTATATCGTGTGCGTTCAGCAAATTATTTCCCGTAGCTATCCAGGACCGCATACGATCCTTTGCTACTCCACATATACGATCACATATGTCTCTACCTTTTTGTACCTCACTAGAGTCCCTAGTCAATAAGTCGAGACCAAGCTGCACAAAATGATGCCTTAGTTATGAAAGCAGTAATGATAAGTAAAAGGCTTACCCTCTGGCAAATTACACTTTCAGCTTCAGGAGTGCCATGCGACGAGAAATTTCCTGCATTGTCTGTACGTTTATGCAATTTCTTTATATATGGATAATCAGCTTGAAACTGCTTCAAAATAATCTCACCAGCACTCAATGTAGCGATTTCTGTTTGAGAAGCGTTAGTTAATGCCAGTATATACGATTCTGTCGAAAAACTATGTGTTGGTGAGGTAGCAGTTGTAACAGCATCTGCCACAGGAGTTGTAGACGTTTTTTTCCAAACAAATGAGCCAATAAATACCGACATGCCTTTCTTCCCGAAGTACTTTTTCTGAGGCTCTCTGTACTCCTGTGGCAGAATTTTCTGACCCCAATCAAAGATGCCAAAAGCTTCATCTGTTTCCATTTCGGAAATGATTTTTGTCTTCTCACGATCCTGTTGAGCAGAGCGTATGTTATGACGAGACCATTCAATTATATGTTCTGAAGCATTCTCAAAAATCGTATTTTACTTCTGCACGTGAGTCTGGGTCAGAGATTTTATCGACTTTTGCTTTGATTTCGTCCAGTGTTCGTATAATATTAACACAGTCGGGACAAGTAGATGTATGTTCTTGACTACATTTTGAATAATGTTGAGCGCAGTCAGGATCACTTAGTGCAAATGTAGTGCAGTGACTAATGCAATTAGAATTTGCCGCACAATGACCAATATGTCTTGACTTTTGATAGTTCTCTGCCATCTCCATTTGTTTCAGTAGACGCCTACGATCGGCTTGAGGAATAGCCATTTCTTCCACAATCGCTATAACCAAAGCACAAATGAAACTCTGTTTTGACTTAATCACACGCCTTGTCAACAACCGGTCAGAACTGATCATGCTGAATTAAACTAATCCCTACACCAGTCCGGTCAGTTTATTAGTAAAAACAGATTCATTGATATACGATGTTACATTAAAAATCAAATGCTCCTTAACCGAAGATAGATGCAGTAGCTGATCCAGTTCGATGCTAAATAACGACTAGACCTAAAGATCTAAGTTACCAACTGACCGAATGGCTTTATTCCTAATAATTCTGAATTGGATTGATTCATAATCGCTATTACTTCCAGATATGCAAGAAGAAAACAAGAAAAGTATCTAGCCTGAAAGTGAATGAGAACCTCTAAAGTACTATGAAGTCTGTGAAGATGTTCTTCTGCCCAAAGTTCTCTGTATTTATATTCCCTGAAGTCCCTGGAGATTTTGACCTCCTTTATCTCTCCCTCGGGTCTTTGAATAAAATAGCCACCTTGAAGAGTATCTGGGATAGTAGAGATTCTCTACGTACTTGATAGTGAACGCCATGCTTCGATGCCTTCAACAACAATCTCATCCAGGCCTGCTGCAGCTCGTTGCTGTGCAGGTTTTTATGCTGTTGAGTATGTCGTATAATTTGCTATTTCCTAAACCTTGAAAATCAGTTTCATCACAATACTTCTTGTAGTTAATAAGAGCATGAAATTTTTGCAACTGAAGAACTGGCTTGGGCAGCTCGTATTTGTCCCCATTATCCATACGTAGCACAGTACCCATGGAGAAAAAAAATGGCAAAAAATTGCCGAATATGATGTAATTTACATCATTTTAATGAAAAATTTTCCACAGAGACATGATGTCCAAAGCGAAAAACATGCCATGATTTACCATGAAACGGACAGTTTAAAGCATGTTTTTTAAATTCATGCAATTTTTTCGAAAATTTCATTCCATGAAAACAATTCAATTTACACGAATTTCATGTCATGAGATTTATTAAAAGTGTATCAAAACCACTATCTTTGTCTC